GTATACCGTATCTACTAACATAGTTGCATTACCAGTAATGTCGGGTATGATCTCTTAGAAGGTTACGGCACAATTGTTGAATGGTCGTAACTTTGTTGAGTGGTCATGCTCATTCCAATTTTTTTTAGGTCGTGTTTGGAAGTTTGGTTGGTTGATGGGATCTCACCCAAAACTAGCTGATCACAACCCTGGATATTCTACATGGTTATCTGAGAATTGCACTATTTTTGGATGTTTATTTGACTTGATGGAGCCATATGTTTGCAAGATTTACCAGTTTCATAACTCTGTTTCGAAGTTACAGAGCGCATTATCATAGATGTATTTCTAGACAGGAGCTTTCTCTGTCTAGATGTATTCCTAGACAGAGCGCATTATCATAGAGTTCGTGTTTATGAGCTTTCTCAGGAGCCCTCATATACTTGGCATGGAGATATGATGATTTAGGATTATTATGGCTATTTGATCCAATACTAGCTTAAGTATGAGACTATACGTCCTCTTGTTACTATTCCGAGGATAAAGTCCAAAGGAGTGACATTCCTGCATACTCGAGAACAGGAGAATATGATTCACAAGTTCTTTATGGGATTTTTCATGATGAGTTTGAGGGACCTCGTTCTCAGATCTTGTAGATGATGATGTTTCCTTCTCTTTATGAGGTGTATGCGATGATTGAGCAACATGAGTGTCACGTCTATATTGCATCACTTTCAGTTGCGACCTTGACTCCTCAGGCCGACCAGATAACCTTTGCAGCTGCTGTAGAGTTTCATTCAGGACCCTCAGTCAGGGGTGGACAATGCCCGGACTAACGCCGATAAGGCACCCTAGATCAACGCAGACAGAAGGTTTCTCGTTAGTGTGATAATTGTAGCCAATCAGGACATCTTAGGGCTGCTATCTGGAAGCTTTATCTGGAGCTTAAGTTGCCTCCTCACGGCCGTACTGCTTGTATTACTGAGGTACCCTACCTACTGTTGTTGCTCCTGCTATTGCTAGTGTTGATCCTCCTTGGCATAGTAATATGGATGTTATCACTTTCCACTTAGATATACTTATGTTAGGCCCTGATTTCTCTGGGTTCGACTATTGCTGTTGCGACTACTACAGGCATTCCTTATGTCTTTCATGTTTGTGCCAGGCTGTCTTCCCTTTGGATGTTGGACTCGGGTGCGAATGGTCACATGAGAGATGAGATTCATCACTTCATCACTTTTGACGAGCAGTTATATACACTAGTTCAATTAAAAGATGAGACACATGTCCTTATTGTTAGTAGGGGTACAACTCGCCTTCTAGATGAATTTATATTTATGTTTGATTTTTCATGCGTCAAAGCTGGATATGAAGCTATTATCTATATATTAGTTAGCCAGAGATTTTCACTGTGCAGTTGTGTTCTTATTAATTTGTGTTTATTTGCAGGACTTGTATACCAGGAGGATTATTATCAGGGGACATGAGAAAGATGAACTATATTACCTAGGCGATCCACCTCTAGTTTCACCAGTTCCTACACCTATATCACCTGTACTTATTTTATCTTTATCTGTTCCTAGCTTGCTGCTAGTATGTTATCTAGTACTTTTTGTTATAATTTTTCGTCACAAATTGTTCAATTGTGGCATGACCATTTTGGACATACAAATTTTAAATATTTATGTATGTTATTTCCTATTTTGAGCAATACTTGTGTTATTGGCAAATTTAACTGTGTTATATGTTCCCTATCGCAACAAGTTAGGGTCAGTTATATTCCTCGCATGAACCAGTCACCTAGGTCATTCGACCTAATACACTTTGATATTTGGGAACCCTCTCCTGTTACTGTTCTGACAGGTACTTGATACTATATAATATTTATAAATGACTATACCCGTTGTACTTAGGTCTACCTTTTGCATAGAAAGTTCAATATACTCCCTATCATCATTTAGTTTATTTAGATGATTAAGACACAAATCGATATCATTGTTCGTGTTCTGCATTTGGATAATGCCAAAGAATATGTGTCTAATGCTTTAGTGTCTCACCTTTTTTCTTAGGATATCCTTCAGCAGCTCACTTGCCCATATACTCTTAAGCAAAATAGAGTTGTTGAAAAGAAAAATAGGAGTTTGATAGGGATGGTACACTGAGTCTTATTGGCATTTTATTGGCAGTTTGCTATTTTGATTTCTACTTTTCTGTGCAATCGTACACTGAGTCATGTTCTTCTGCATAATGCTCCTTTACAGGTCTTTTTCTTTGAGCAAACACTTTTTTCGGTCTCCCCTAGTGTTTTTGGCTACACATATTTTGTTCTGAATCGATCTCCTATTCGTCATAAACTTGATGATAAAGCGATTTACTATGTCTTTGTGGGCTATTGTCATCGGTCTAAGGGGTATTGATGGTATAATCCTATTAGGCGCCACATGTATCACAACTTAGATTTTACATTTTTTGAGTATATATCCTTATTTTTCTTTCAGTTCTGTGTTTGCTCCTCAAGTTGATGATACTCTCTGATTTTCTCTTACCACATAAGTTAGAACCATTGGTCATTGTCACTACAAAGTCACTAGTCTCTCCTCCTCCAGAGCCATTTGTCTCAGTCATTGTAGAGTCACCAATTAATCTTCCTCATTTGCAAATAAATGTTTGTTGCTCTCTCTTTCATCCCCCTACTGATATCTCCTCTATATCAAGTGATGTAAGTAATATTTCTCAGTTCGTTAAGCATATTAATAGACCTGTTGTTAATACTGATTAGATTGCAGGTAGTGAGTCAGTTTATCTGATGAGACATTATCAATGGAGGATGATGATTTAGGGTGTCGGTATCCGCGGTGTGATCGTGGTCTAGTTGTTCGTTATGGTTAGACTACTAGGACTTTATATCTGATATCTGGTTAATTTTTTATGGTGATTTGTATCTTACATTTTGAGTTTATAGTATGACTTTATCACATACGCCAGTTTCTCACTCTATTTCAGAGGCTATGTAGGAACCCCAGTGGATTCTTGTCATGCAGACGAAGATAGACACTCTTCAATGTAATTATACGTGAAATTTTGTCTCTTTACCTTCAGGGGTGAATCCTATTGGTTGTCACTGGGTTTACACCCTAAAGTTTCTAACATATGATACTATTGATCGTCTCAAGACTATGCTTGTGGCGAATGGCTTTACTTAGTATTAATTCATGATTTTGGTGCTATCTTATCCCTCGTGGTAAAATTGACTACGGTTCGATTGATTGTTTCTCTGGTTGTGGAGTATTATTGGCCTCTTTCATCAGTTGGGTGTGAAGAATGCGTTTCTTTGAGGTGATCTGGACAAGACTATTTACATGAATGCACCACCGGGCTTTCGTGGTGAGGAGGAGTATGCTGAGAAGGTGTGTTGACTGCGTAAGTCTCTTTATGGATTGAAATAGTCACCACGAGTTTGATTCTCTTGCTTTAGTGGTGTAATTGTATGTTTAGAGTTCACTAGATATCATTTTGATCATACATGCTTCATTCGACAGAATACTTTTGGACAATGCATTATCTTTTGGTATATGTGGATGATATTATTATTATTATTAAGAATGATATTTCTGCGACTGCGTAGGTCAAGGTAAACCTTGAAAAGGCCTTCGATATGAAGGACCTTGAATTTTTACGATACTTTCTTAGGATTGAGGTTGCCCGTAGTAGCAGATGTATTGTTCTTTCTCAGAAGAAGCATGTTCTGGATTTTCTCTCGGACATTGGGATGCTGGGGTACAAATCGACATCATCACCCATGATTCCAAACTTGAAACTTACTGTTGAAGGTGAAGAGTTGAGAGATGCGACTGTCTATCAGAGGTTGGTAGGTAGATTTATCTACCTAGCTAACACTAGGCCAAACATTTCATTTGTTGTTAGCCGAGTTAGTCAGTTCATACACAAACCGTGTCAGTCTCATCTTGATGCAGTTTATCCTATGCTTAAGTACCTCAAGTCTTGTCCTGAACTTGAGTTGTTCTATGAATCAGGAACTCAGATTGGTTCTCTAGCTTAATATTCAAATTTAGATCATGGGGGAGTGTGTGATGGTCGATCTACTATGAGTTTCTGTGTTTTTTAAGGGATTTATCTTATCTCTTGGAAGAGTAAGAAGTAGACAGTTGTCTTTCGCTCGTCAACAGAGGCAGAGTATCGGGTATTGACCACTTGGCACATGTGAGATTATCTGGCTACGATCGTTTCTTGACAAATTAGGATTTTTAGTGACTTTTTCAACCACATTATATTGTGATAATCGATCTGTTATTCAGCTTACTTCTGACTCTATACTACACGAGAGGATGAAGCAATATAGATTGATGTTCACTTTTTTAGGAAGAATGTTAGTTGTGGTATTGTCACTCAATTGTTTGTAGGGATCAATGATCAGGTTGCAGATATTTTCACCTAACCTATCACTTTATCTATTCTCCGGGACTCCATTGTCAAGTTTGATTTAGTTGACATTTTTACATTTAGCTTGAGGGGGAGTATTGGAGTTATAGTCTAGTTTATAGAATTTTTTCCCCTTTTTTTTACTTTTTCTATCTGGTCATTTTATACTATTGTTTGACTATATATACGAGGCTTTATATTTTATTTGTATTCCTTTTAATTCACACATATTTCTCTAGTCAGTTAAATAATACAATTTGTGCTCATGGGTCCAACTAACTTCAACTAGGACTGTTAATTGAACCGAGCTGAGCCGAGCCGAGTTTTGGCTCGGATAGGACTTAGTTTGAGCTCTACTCTTCTAAGTGAATTGACCTCAAACAATTTTTTACGAGGTTCGACTTGAACTCTCAAAATTTAACTCGTTTATATGTAACATAATTGAATTATTTGAGTTCGGCATATTTTCTAAACAAATTGAGTAATAAATCGAGTTTAAAATATTTTTTGGACTTATTTAAACAATTGAACTCCATAGGCTCCGATTCAAACTTTAACATTTGACCCAATTTACCGCCTAACCTCAGCAAAATTGTCAGCTGCCAACACAAACGCCGTTTGGTCAAAACTGATCGGCTACACGAAGTCATGAATCTCTTTTTTTTTATTTGCCTTCTGCTCCTTTGCATCATCCACACAGCACGCGTCGTCTTTGTTTTTGTGGAGGGTCCTCTCAGTATTATAGTATTCAAAAGACGATGTCTTCCTCAGGGTACTGTTATCCATGCGGTCCACCATGGAGAACCCTCAATGCTTTTTTCCCATGCCCCCTTGGACGCTTCAACATGGAGGCGAATTACCCAGGAAGGTAACGTATACATTTATAACTTTTAGAATATATCACGAGAAGAAGACCAAGTGTTTGTTCAAAGTCCTAAACCAGGTCATAAGTAAATGTTTACATGCAAAATAGCTCTATAAATATCAGAATTTTTGGGGTCTTTCTGATTATGGGTTGTTGATATATAAAAAGGCCGATGTTTATTTGTCTCCATTGATATTTCATGCACCTTTTCGTGGCAAGAAATCTTTATCTTTGCAAAAGCTTTATAGCATCAAGTTGTAGAAAATCTAACTTCGTTTCAAGCAAGCATGGTATTAGTATTCTGTCCTCTCGGTTTGGTGTTTCAAAAGGTGAGTAAATTTGTAAAGATTAGTCCTTAGCATATTGGTTTGTTGAACAATGCAAGGTTTTTCTTTGCTCTACTAGTTTACTATTGAGCAATGCTATATGGACTTAAAATGTAAATTTAAAATATAGACTTGATCAATTAGCTATTGATTTCATTGTGAGTCTCAGCATTATTAAAACCTACTAACTATTCAATGACAATGATTTATCAAGTCTACATTTTAAAGCCAATTAGCATTTCCCTTTATGACACCGATATTTATGTGGTTTGGAAAAATTTCTGCCTACGTCCATGGGGTGATCTGGTCACATTATTTATTATTGAGAGAAATTGAGTATAATACAATACAAGGCTCACCACTCGAGATTACATCCCAAACCTGAGTCTTAAATCTTTTGTACACCACCCAATCTTACCACTCTCAATCCTAGTAAAGAAAACTCTTTGTTACTCGGAAAGATAAAAATACAAAATGTGAAAAACTTCACATTACCCCTGAATTCAGTGGGAATTCGGATGACCCTGAATTTCTAAACTTGAATTCAGGTTTCTTGGATGACTCACATCGGAAGATGTCCCCCGCACACCCAAGGATTGGGATACCCAGAAAGGTGAAGTTTGAGGGCCTTTGATAGCCATGAAGGCTTGATGAGCATATATGTGAATAATGAGACAAGCCAAGGCATTCTTATTCAATGACATTTTGCTGAATTTTCTGGCAATGGGACAAAAATCAATCAAGACTTTTATGGCACCAACTAGAGCTGTGATATCTTCTCATCAAAAGCTCTTCTTCTCAGCCAATATCTTCACCAACTTGTTGAAGTATAAATACTTAAGTTACACCCTCTCTAGCAACATAATTTCAACATAGTATCAGAACAGGAGGTCTTGTTTTCGAATCTTGCCACCACCCTAATTATTAAAAGAGTTTCTACGTGTTATACCCAAAATTTAGTATGAGGGGGCGTGTTTAAGTATAAATACTTAAGTTACACCCTCTCCAAAAACTTTTAAGTTTTTGGAGTAGATGATTGTTCAACACAATCAACACACAGTTTGTTGGATTTCAGTGGCGCCCCCGTTGTTGAATTTGAGCCACCGCTTCAACAAAATTGATGGGTAGGTGTAGTTTAGCCAATTAACCAAGTGGAATAGACTTAGATATTTTAATATGATAGCGAGTTCAGGTTGTATTTCTGTGGTATGATGTATTGGCTTTAGAAAAGCCATATTATTATCATCCAGTAGTTAGCATAGCAAGTGGCACTCATAAATTATAAAACCAATATAAAGATAGATGAGCTGATATCAAAGTCCATAACAGATGTAGCTTCCGTGTTATTATCAGCAATAAACAGTACACCAGGCAAACTGGCTAAAACTTTCCTTTTCTCCAATCTGTAAATTATTGATTTGAGTTGTGTGATGTACAAAAATGCAAAATTGGTTTATTGTTTTGTTTGTAGGACTTTCTGACTGGCAACTTCATTTTTCCCTTCAGGTGCTGCAGTTCAAGTTGTGACCACCACATTTTCTAACAGATTCATTTGGATCATGACAAGTTCATCATCAGTTGGGGAGTGTTTGGTTCCTGAAAGTAGAATTCAGCAGGTAAAATTGCTTAATGCATCTGATGATGCCTATGGAGGAGTCACTGTAGACATGAAGGAGCCTATGGATTCTGATGACTTTAGGTCTCTGCTCAGAGCTTCAATATCGCAATGGAGGCAACAGGTGGTTGTTTTGATAAAAAAGTTTCCCTTCTGAAGAAAAAAAATATATCTTTAGAGGATCTTTTTGCCTTCAAGTAAAATTTCATGTGTTCATTAATCTTGCAGGGAAAGAAGGGTATCTGGATAAAATTGCCTATTGAACACGTAAATCTTGTTGAGCCTGCAGTAAAGGTAAAAAACAATTATTCAAAAGTAATTTTAAGTTTGGTAGCTTCTGAGAACTGACCATCAATTGTGACTGTTATTTGAAACTATTAATAATCATTTTTGATAAAGAATATAGATCTTTAAATAGATTCTAAACACAGAATAGCAGTTATGTTTACTCTTCATCACTTTGTGTTTGATAATCTGGACAGTTCCCCTCCTCACCCCTTCCTATGTTTGCTCTTCCTTTTATGCTTCATAATAGAATTCTCCTAATCAATCTTACAGGAAGGATTTTGGTATCATCATGCTGAACCATCTTACCTGATGCTTGTATATTGGATCCCCGAAACTCCTCATACAATCCCTGCAAATGCTTCACACCGAGTTGGCATTGGTGCTTTTGTAATGAATCATAAGGGAGAGGTATTTCCTTTTCTTTCATTTTTAAAATAATGTCTGTATTAATATTTGTCCTGTGATGGGTTTACAGTTTGTGTTCCAAGTTTAAATAATTTTTTTTTTCACAAGGTTCTTGTAGTACAAGAAATTCATGGAAAATTCAAAGGTACTGGGGTCTGGAAATTACCTACCGGGGTCGTTGATGAGGTACAAAACTCAGATTGCAATGGCTCTTCATTTTCTAGTAGATGGGTGGTTGTATTTCCACAAGGAGTTTGAGTTTTCATTTCCTACCTTGCAGGGTGAGGATTTATGTGATGCTGCAATCAGGGAAGTGAAAGAGGAGACAGGAGTAAGTATGAAATTTGCATATAATGTACTTCCATTAATTTGGAAGCTTGACATGCATTTAAGGCTGTGGACGCAATCATAGATTTAAGACTGGCTATTTTTTGCTTCAGATTGAGACGGAATTCGTGGAAATCCTTGCATTCAGGTAATAAGCTTACTTAGTTTCTACTGCTTTAATTTTAAAGTGTTCTGAATACATTTGAACAACCAATGGTTTTTCATATAAAATCATCTCCTTGAAGTGTGATTTTCTAACATAATAGCTCAACAAAATCTTGTCTTAACATTTTTGGGAAAATTAGTGTTGTAAAAAGTTTTATGAGCTATAAAGCACGAATATGGATATGAGATATGAGTACGATATGATGATACGACAAAATCGAAAAAAATAGGATATGGTTACGGTTACAATACAATACGGATACAACAAAATCTGAAAAAAGTAAGATACGGGTACGACTAGAATACTTCTATAATAAAATATATTTCATATTTTTACTATTATCTACCAACTTAATAATTATATATTTGGTAATTCTTTAATATAATAAGCAAATTTGACACTTTTTCTTTAGTTTCAAATAAGCAAGGGCGGAGGGACATAGGGACCGGGGGGGGGACATGCTCACCCTGAAAAAAAAATTAAAATTTTTATCTTTGTATATTTATGGTTTTTTATTGGGTAGTTGGAATTAGACTCACCCTCATGACCAAAAATAATAAATATTGAACCCACTCTAATAAGTTTGAACTAATTAAATCTTGTGCAAAAAAATAATCGGGCACATTTTTCACTCAAAGAAATGTGAAAATATGTTAAAAAGTTACGACTAGTGATTGAGCCAATTTTTTTTTTTTGATAACTCAATATTATAGTATTCATAATTGTTTGAAATTGCTTTAATTTTTTAAAATTGAGATTCTGGTTAATTGTTTCATAATCAGGCCATGTAGAGTTATACTAACCTTTTTGAATCATAACTCTTGATCCAAAATAATTTAACTAAATAACATTTACTTGTAAATTTTAACATGGCATCACCTATTCCAGAGATAACATAAGTCATAGTTCGGCCCCAGAACTTTTAATTGTATTGCGTCTTTCTTCCTCTTAGTAAAAATATGGCTGGAAGAACTTTAGAAATGAGTTATTCTTAACCCCAACAACCTTCAAGTTGTCTGCATTGAGTGTATGATTACTGGTGTGAATGAAAACCATTCCCGTTGTTACTTGGTCCTTTGTAATAATAATGAAGTGATGTTGCATTTTGGTATGTATCTTTCAAGATACCCATAGTTTAGATACAATATACAATGAATTGATGATGGGACCTTCTTAGCTGGTGACTGAAGGGCATGCACCCACCCTGAAAAAAAAAAAATTTACCTTTGTATATTTATGATTTTTTATTGGGTAGTTGGAATTAGGCCCATCCTCATGACCAAAAAACAAAAATATTGAACCCACTCTAATAAGTTTGAACCAACTAAATCTTGTGCAAAAAAATAATCGGGCACATTTTTTACTCAAAGAAATGTGCAAATATGTTAAAAAGTTGCGACTAGTGATTGAGTCTTTTTTTTGATAACTCTCAATCTTATATTATTTATAATTATTTGAAATTGCTATAATTTTTTAAAATTGATGCAAACTTAGCCTGAAATTAATTACTATTAACTTAATTACTTATGTAGAGAAAGACATTTTCGATAACATTATTAATTTGTACATGGCTGTAACTAGCCTCATTTTTGGTAAAGGGTTGTTATTAGCCTCTTTTTATTGAGTATTGTTTTCATAGGCTATGTATATTGGTATTTGACCCTTTGTATTTAATGAATCTTTAAATATGCAACACGATGTAAAAAAAAAAAATCATATACCACAATACTTTTATTGATTGGAGAAAAAAATTAAATTGTGCTGGTTAAGTGTGCCACCCAATAATACATTTTTGGCCCCGCCCCTACAAAGAAGTATATATTATATCATTATGACATTCATAAAGTGAAGTGACTAATTAAAAGAATCAAATTATTGGTTTGCTTAGAAGTATTTGTTGTTAAAAGTATAAATATATTCATTTTTTGCTCTTTTAACATATAATAGTAGATAAAACGTAAAAAAATTCATGTCTTCAAAGTCGTATGAATTTTCGTTGGTGTTTTGTATGGTATGTGAATGCGAAAGGAGATGTTTAAAGATTAAATTAAAAAATTATACATATTTCTCCGTTATAAAAGTATTTGTGAAGTATCTAAATATGTTATTATTATCATATATTTAGGAGGTGTATTCAATATGTATCATCTAGTATTCGACGAGTATCGTATTTATACGATATCCGATACGGGTGCCGGGTTCTAAATTATAAAACCTTTACTGAAGGTGTTAATTTACAGGCAAAGCCACAAGTCATTCTTTGGCAAGTCAGATTTGTTATTTATCTGCATGCTGCGGCCACTCTCTTTTGATATCCAGAAGCAGAATTCAGAGATTGAGACAGCACAGGTAAAAATACTGGTAGACAGTGGCCAGCTATAAGTATTATCTGCTTTTGAGCTAATTCCCATAACAAATTAAAATGAAGAGTAAAATGTTTATCTTTGCTTAGGGCTGCTTAGTCTCTTAATGCAGCAGTGGCATATTAATTTTATTTTGCTACTACTGCTAGTGGTGTTAGTCGTTTAGATTAGTCTAACACTACTCCAAGATTATCTAGCTACTAGCAATAATCTTGTGTCTAAAGATACTCTGCAATATAAAAAATTATTGAACATTGATCGTGCAACATTTATATTGTAAATTACAATTTATTTTTTCTAATATTGTATTTAATTATACAATTTAAAATAAAATTGAACAGAGCGAAAATAAGAGAGATGTAGAGGAGAGAGGAGAGAGAAGAGAAGGTACGTGTGGATTAATAAGGTTGTTTAGCATTGTAGAGTATGTTGTTGAGTTATTTGATCATTAGATTAAAAGTAAATAAAAGTTAGATCAATCTTGACTCTGTTGTGTTTTTATAAGTTGAGGACTCAACTTTCTAGCCATAATATTAGATAGAGTTACAATAACCCATGTCTGAAGATGCTCTATAATACTAAAACTCAAACATAGATCGTGCAATATTTATATTGTAGTTTGTAATTTATTTTTTCTTTAATCATGCAATTTAAAATTAAATTAAATAGAGAGAAAATAAGAGAGAGTCAGGGGAGAGAGAAGAGGGAGGTATGTGTAGATTAATGGAGTTGTTTAGCATTGTGGAGTTTGTTGGTTAAGCTGTCTAATATTGGAGGTCGTACAGAGAACATTATATTTTTGTACCATAGATGAAAAGTAGGTCAATCTTGACCGTTATTGTATTTTTATAAGTTGAGAATTCAAATGTTTCCTCCTAATATTAGATGAGATTTCCCTACAATTTTAATAACATGGTTGATCTTTCCTTTATTTTGGGGGTCTTTGTCCCCTCTTTCAGTGGATGCTTGCTGAGGATTATGCAGCCCAACCATTTGTGCAGAACCACATGCAATTCAATTCCATTGCCAAGTTATGCTTAGCAAAGAAAGACAATCACTACACTGGCTTTTCTGCTGTGCCTACAACTACTGGTTTTTCTGCCAAGAAGAGTTATTTGTACTCCAACATTCAGGGTGTGGAGCTCTGACCAACTTCTCATAATTGGGCACTTGAGAAGGTTATGTTTGGAGAACAGAATTCTGTGCGTGTTCATTTGGTTACCGTATTGTAATAGAATATATTGTATTAGATAATATGGACTAATTCTATGTAAATGGATAAAATACAAGATTATATGTGGAACAACAATACTACACATTGTAATCCAGTGTTTGGCAAAACATTGGATTAAGAGTGAGATAATAGAGTATTAATTGCATATTGTCTAAAAAACCTTCAATTTTGTTTAGTTATTGTTTTTATTTATTTGTCGGGTAAAATAGTAAATTTATAATTGGCGCAATAGTATTGATAGAGTATATTATTAGGATAATTATTTGAAATAAGACTATATATAATAGAGTTCTTTTTTGCAACTAAATGTAATATAAGGATTTGTTTAGCGGGTATCACACTTTTTGCACGAGAAGATTTAAAAATTTTTATTTTATACACTTAAAGATTAAATATTTTTATGTTGTACTATCAATGTATTAAAATCATTGTAATGTGGTCATTTTATTAACTTTTGCTATTTATTCTATCAAAAATTATTTTATTGACGTTGACGAAATGGGCTAACAGAAATGTCATGTTATAATATTTTTAATATATATTGAGGGTGTAATATAAAAAATTTAATATTTGAATGTGTCAAACAAAATTTTAAAATTTTTAAGGTATAAAGTGCAATTCGTCCGATTGTTATAATCTTTTTTGTTCAACAAAATCAAGACTGGAGAAACATTGTTAATTGTATTTCTAAACGTATCTACAAGCAGTCCACATATGAATAAGTCATTGATTTGAAAGAGTTTCTCCTTGGAGATATTGTACAACAAGTATTTCTTTATCAACAATGTTACATCCACTAAATTTTTTTATCAAATTTTGAATCCCAAATTAATGTAAACTATAGAATCAGTAGATCTCACAAACTCTCGCTAACTATTGAATGACTTTTAAATGCTGATCGAGTACCATTTGGAGCCATTTAGAGCCATTTGGAGCCATTTTGTCTTGGAGGTATTTACTAGTGTAGGGTAATTTTAAAACAAATTTACTCATTTATGGTATTTTTGAACTTATTTTTTAAACTACAATACTTTTTACAAAATAGAATAAAAAACTCTGTTTTTTTAATAAAAATGGAATCAACAACCTTGTTGTTATTTATTTATTTTTTGAATTGAAGCGATAGAAATTTTATGAAGAAGCTAAATTTGAGAGAAGAGGTGGTATTAGAAAATCTAGTGTTATTTTTTCCCAAACATCAATATTTTTACTTAATCTGGCCTTTTGAACTAGTTGGTGAGCCACACGATTTTTTGATTATCTAATAGTGGACAAAGAATAAAAAATAGACAGGCAAAGAAATTGCTGCACATCTACGATAATAGCACCAATAGGAGAAAAATCTTCATAATTCTTGCCAATCCACTTCATGATTGTAGAAGAACTCTCTTCCAACACAATCTCATCACACCCAATTTGCCTAGCAAAAAGCACAGCTTCCCTTGCAGCCATAGACTTTGCAGTTTGTGCTTCTTCCAACCCAATTAACTTCTTAGACATCTCAGTAATGAACGACCCAGCTTCATCTTGAATAACCACACCTACCCCAATAGCATCCTCTATGTCAAACACTGCACCATCGAAGTTAACCTTAAAGGATCCAGATCTAGGAGGAACCTAATGTTATGGTGCACTTTCCTAGACAACACCCTTACCAGAATCCAACGCTTGCTCATACTGCGAAATAAAACTTCATTCCTGTTACGCCAAATATACCAACACAACACCAAGAAAGTTGCACCAAGTTTCGGATTAAGCCGCAAAATAATTTCCTAAAAACAATTATCAAAGTTCCCACTTGATGTATTAAATGACAAAGAGGACTCACATTCCACACTTGTCTCGCCCAGGGGCATTCTTTAATAATATGCATCGTAGTTTCAAAACCCTCCACACATACACAACATACCCCATTTGGTCTAATTTTTCTACGCCACAAATTTTCATTAGTAGGAAAAGCATTTAAGATCATCCTCCATGCAAATATCTTTAATTTACTGGGAACATTTTGATTCCACAAAGCACCGCAATTACCCCCTACACACTCCAAACTAAAAATTTGCCATTTATAATGCCAAATTAACTTATCTTCCATAGGCAACACACCCAAAGGGATCCTTTTAATAACCTCTACTTCATGCTCCAAGAAGACAACATCAATCATAGGGGTTTTTCAACAATGTGTAGCTAGATCAATAAGCTCACTAACCATAGCATCATCCTCCAAAAAATTCTTTGGGCTGACCACTCGGAAAGTAGATGGGGTAAGAATCCATCTATCCTTCCATATATGAATTTTAGACCCATCACCAAGCCTCCATCGCGACCCAATTTCAATGATTGTCCTTGATTCTAAAATACCCTCCATGTATATATGAAGGTCTGTATCCAATCTTGGCATTCATAAATATCGTCGATGACCTCGCTTTTAGAACCTTGTGCAGCAGAGTATGCGTCTCATGGTGAATTCTCCAAGCTTGTTTTGCTAGTATTGCCATATTAAAAGTCCTTAAATCTCTAAAACCCATCCCACCAATTTTCTTCCCTTTACACATGTCAGCACATTTAACCCAATGAATCTTCCTCTACCCCTCCTTTTGGCCCCACCAAAAATTAGAAGCCAAAGACTCCAACTAGCTGCAAAAATAATCTGGAAGCTTGAAGCATCCCATAGCATATGTAGGAATCAATACTGCTTTTATTAACACTTCTTTACCACCCCTTGATAACAATTGTTCCTTCCACCCTTGTAACTTCTTCCACACTTTTTCCTTGATACCAACAAAAACTTCACTCTTCGATTTACCCATTATAGAAGATAGCCCAAGGTACTTCTCACGTTGTTGAACCCAAGGAACACCGAGAATAGCCTATATTTCTTAAACTCTAATCTCTGGAATATTCTTACTACATACCAAATGCTTGCTTGTTTCCGTTGTAGTATATTCTAACCTTCAAACATTATCCCTCAATGTGTATAGTCTATGTGCAGAGGGGAGTGTCACTCTCCCTTGGAATGATGTCAAAAGAAAGGGTAACAGAATGGTGGGTGAATGAAATGTATGAAATATGTGTGTGAAAAACAATGCTTCCCAAGCGCAGAGAGACTTTTGCTTGTCGTGTTTTATTTGGAGTTGTGTTTTACTTGGAATCGTATTCCAAGATCGTCTCCTCAGGAAAGGAGGTGTATCATCATGAAGGTGATTTTTTATAAAAATAAAGTGTAAAATATTTTGTTGGTTGAAGGTTGATTTGTGATTGTGATGAAAATGAAATAGAACAAATGATGGCTAATCCAAATGGTTCACTACAATGGGAATACCAAGTCAACTCGAATCCTTCCTCCAATAAAGCATAGATGTACGATTGATTTGTGGGAAGTTAGAGACGAGATGGAAGTGAGGATCCAAGCATAATCCGTGACAAGTCTATGGGATATCAAAGACTCACAGTCCCGTCCACCCTTTATCCAGTCAAACCAATCCATCATACTCTGAGAGGAGGAAGGAAAATGAGTTGAAATGACATACCCAAGAGGAGGTCTCCCTTGGATTAGCCAACTTAAAGGCTTTGCTATTCATGCTTAAGATAAAGACAACAATTTAAAGAGAAGACATTATGAAGAAATGAAGATTGGAGCTAAGCTAATGCAAAGAAACATAAACTAAGAGAGAATACATTTAATACTCATTTTAAAACTAAGAAAATAAAGAACTTGAATGCATTAATGCTGAAAATTGAAGGTTGGTCATGAAGATCTAGTCGGAGTACTTGCCTTGAACCACTGAGTCTTTCTATATAAGAGTCAGTTGTGTCATAGAAAGTACTCACAGTTATGCAAATTATCTTAACTTTTCTAGATGCATTCAATCATTCAATAAGCAAGCGAAATATAAAGCATTAAGCATAAACGAAATGTACAAATATAACTTACGGATGATTTATACCTGTCCATCACCTCTTTTTAAAGAGTAAATGAGAAACTAGTCACTCTTCATGACTTTGTAAAAGTTAGAAAAGTGAATGATGCTCATTCCTCAAAGTAGAGGAGTTACAAGGTAAAACACATTATACAAGGAGCCGATCTTCGACAAAGAATGAGTGAATCATGTTCTACCCTTCACGGCTTTGGTAAAATTTTAAAAAAGTGGAAGAGTTTCACTCTTCTAAGGGAAGAAGGAAGCTCAAATAATGGAAGTAAAAGAAAACAAGTAATACTTAAAGTAAAAGAAAACAATAATACAATAGAAGAAAGCAATAATACTTTTGAAGAGTTTTTCACTACTAAAAGATGATCTTTTATAAGTCCTAAGGGGTGGTATTTATAAACAACAAGAGAGGAAAAAAAGTCTTGATTGGAGGTTTTAAATTACACTTTGATCCCCATTTATTTTGAGCTTTGATAGTTGGCTCCTCTTTAGTTTGTAGCTTTGACAGTTGACATCCCTTTATTTTGTAGCTTTGAAAGTTGGCTCCCTTTTAGTTTGTATTTTTGACGCAGAAAACCTTGAAAAACAACAATTAATACATTATCCCTAATTCACACACTAACCGTAATTTGACTTATTTTGACTCTTTTAATTTGTTTAACTAACACAATTGACCTATTAACTTAATTAAAATGTGCATTAACTAGGGTTAATCACCAAAGCATATTTTTCCATACTAATTTGTTGCCCCAAGCCGCTTCATAGATTTACAGTAATTCCTTCACAACATTTGCCTTTGAACAAGTAGCCTTAAAAAATAGCAGGCTATCATCTGCAAAAAATAGATGAGAGATTCTGGGGCATCCTCTTCAAACAGTGATTCCTGATATTAATCCTTGATTTTTTGCATATTTAAGCAAAGCTGACATTCCTTCTGCACATACAAGAAAAAGATAAGGGGATAAGGGGTCTCCTTGTCGGATACCCCTTTGAGGATGAAAATAACTTAGTTGGTCATTATTCACAAGCACTGAGTATGAAACCGATTTAACACACTCCATAACCAATTGAACCCACACATTGCTAAACCCCAAAGTTCCCATTGTTCTCTCTAAAAAAATCCACTCAACTCTATCATATGCTTTACTCATATCTAACTTCAAGGAAATGTGACCCTCTTTTCCCCAAGATTTACACTTAAGAAAACAATTTAGTTCAAAAACCACAAGAACATTATTAGTGATTAGTCTTCTCGAAACAAAAGCGCTTTGATTTTTAGAAAGTATAAAAGAGAGTACAATTTTTAACCTATTCGCTAGGACTTTAGAAATAATTTTGTAGAGGACATTACATAAACTTATGGGATGAAATAGATACATCAACTCAGGACTTTGTACTTTAGGAATCAAAAAATGTGGGTATAATTCAATTTTGTAGGAAAGCCCCCCTCCCCCCATTTAAAAAAGACACTACACAGTCTAGGACATTCACTCCCACCACATGCCAATAATTTTGAAAGAAAAGAGCAGGCATACAATCTGAACAGGTGATTTAGTAAGGTACATTTGAGAAAGGGCTAATAATACCTCATTAGGTCGATAACACTACATGAATCTTGAATTCATTTCATCAGATTACTTTACTTGCCACCTTGTTTAGAATAATCTCCAAATCTCAATCGTGTGGTCTGGCCAATGTAAACAAGTTTTTAAAGTATACAACAACCACATACCTGTATGTTCTTGTGAATTACACCATACACCTTGCTGGTTTTTAATACCCCCGATCCAATTTTTGCGCCTTCTTTGGGATGCCCTAGCATGAAAAAATGATGTATATCTATCACCCTCTTGCAACCAGTTCACTTGCGATCTTTGCCTCTAATGTGTTTCTTCCAAATCCATTAAATTATCAAGCTCAGACCGAAGAGAGGATTGTTATTGTTTACTAGCTTCAGAGATTGGTCCTTCTTGAATATGTGCCAACTGTTCTTTTTGAGACTCCACTTGAGTAGGAATATGCCCAACTTGTTCCTTTTTCCATTTATGCAAACCCATCCTACAATTTTGAATATTCTTTATTAGGCCTTGCGAACCCATCCTTGATGCCTTAAAATTCCACACATTCTTTATAATGGCTTCATAATCACTCCTCTTAACCCAAGAAGCTTCAAACCTAAATTTTCGCCTTCGGCCAGTATACATCCTTGTTAGACTTTTTTGCTTCAGTATCAAGAATAACTTTGTAGTGATCCGACATCCTACTAAACTTATGGCAAACACCAGTATTCAGGAACATATCATTCCACAACATATTTGCACATGCCCTATCCAACCTCTCCCAAATCATACAAGGGGTCTCCCAGCTACTGCACCATGTAAATTGATACCCATCATATCATAAGTCAACCAACCCACAATTATCCAAAGCATTTCAAAAGACCCTTATCTACCAAGTTGCTCTATCCCTCTGCCCCGCTTTTCTGAGTTGGTAAGAATTTCATTAAAGTCATCCATACAAATCTAAGGTAGCTCACTTTGTGCACGAAGCAACCTTGGCAAAGCCCAAGTTTCGAACTGTTTTGACACATCCGGCTCACCATAAATCCCCATAAAACGCCACAAATTCTTCCCATTATTTGCATTGACACAAGCATTAATATGTGACCAAGAGAAACTCTGTAAGGACACACACATCCTTCTGCCACAGCAAGGCCAAACCCCCAGATAAACACTCTACATCCATAGAAATCCCATTCATCCTCAATCTCCTTTTCACCTGTTCCACTTCATCAATTCTACATTTTGTTTCCATCAAGAAAACAATATCAGGCTTTTCCTTGTTCACAAAGTCGTGAAGAAATTGAACTGTCTGAGGCTGCCTGATACCTTAGCAGTTCCAACTTAAGAGTTCATAATGCTCGCAAGTCTAGAACCCAGAACCTGCCATTAAACAATTAGATAGAGAAACTCCATCTTCCAAAAATACCTGGACAATTGACCCCCTTTTCTTTGAAACCACTTGCAATTCCTCCTCCAACATTGCAGAAGATTTCGCTGTCTTTCGCTTGCCACCATTCTTGACTGTAGGTAGCTCTAATGTTGAGCCACTTTGCGCCCTTGCCTTTCGCTTCCAAGACTTCAAAGATCCTTTTCTCTCATTTTCCTCCAATAAAATCCCTTTTCCTTTATCTGCTTCCCTCTCCAACAATTCTTTACACATCTGATCTAAAGCTAGACTTATCCCACTTTTAATTTGCTTCTCCAATACTAGTGTAGGCTGGGCCATCAAAATTTGGCTATTGCATTTAGATTTGGCCCAATCTTGGTTGGCCCATAATAAACCCATTGTATGGGTAGCTTGGATATCTGATGACCCGAACCCTAGACCATTTTGATTTCCCTCCAAAATTTGAGATGTATTAGCCAAAGAGTCCACAGCTGCAAAACTAGCACAAACCGTTTGTTCCTGACCTATCCCACCTTTTGCCATTACCTTCTCTCTCATATGCAACTAACCATTATCCCCTAAATCCATGTGATTGTATTCTATCCCCTCCTGAATATTCGTCCTATCACCCACCCCCATTCAACAATTCGACATCCATCTCGAACAACTTACTTCCTTCTCCTGTCTTACTCTCAGCAAAATCAACATCAACTGCAAGCTTCTGGTTCACATGGCTCTTTCTAGACTTTTCCCCCACAGCTCGTAACCAACTCCCATATTGCAGCGTAGGGGTGCAACTTGGGTTGGACAACCCCAGCCCAACCCGAAAAAATTAGGGCTTGGGTAAGGGTATTTAATACTTGGATTGAGCTTGAATCAAAAAATCTAAACCCGAATTCAATTTGGGTTGAGCTCAGGTTAAGTTCTCGTAAATTCGAATTCAACCTGAACCTGACAAATTAAAAAAAATTATATATATATATATATAGCATTAACACTGATTTTTTATTTTGGTTCTATCGTTCTCTGTCTCTTTCGTTCTCTTGGCCTCTCTCGTTCTCTCAGCCTCTCTTATTAAAAACTTGGTTGAAGTTATTGGTTGTTAATTTAAGTCAATATTATATAATATATGTATTAAGTTTAGAATAACAAGCCTATTTTGAGCTTTACCTAAATTGAACCCGTAAAATAACTCGAAATTAGTCTGAAATTATAAACCCGAATTCAACCCGAACCCCGCCCGAATAAAACTCGGGAAGTGCTCGGGTTGAGTTTCCCAACCCGAGGTAGGGTTATGATTGAAAATTATATACCTAGGGTTGGGCTAGGGTTGATTGTCCAACCCGTCCAACCTGCCCGAGTTGCACCCCTATATGGAGAGACAGAAGTGGATAAAGAGAAAAGAGAAAGGGTGTCTCTTTTATTGGTATTTAATAAAAACGCAATTATTGATCACTTTCGTTAAAAACTGAGGTTAAAAATTATCATAATTTGATAAATAAGTTTAAAAATATCGTAAATGAGTAAATTTGTTTTAAAACTATTGTATTTTGTTAGTGTATGCTTATTCGATGGGGATAAGACTTTGGTACAAAAAAAAAAAAAATTTAGTACCGCACCTCTAATTTTTATTCCTTTTATTGGTGTTTTTATAACTCTTGTCATAATTATTTTTCTTACTTTTGTAGTAACTTGCTATTGATCTTAAAATGTAATGATTGATCGCAAGATACTACAAAAAAAATAAAAATAGATATCACAAAGTGATAAAAATACCTACAAAAATTATAAAAATACCCACAAAAGTATAAATGACAGTACCAATTTTTTTTTCCCGGTACCATAGACTACTCCATCAGTTGGTCATTTGTTTGTGTGTTGGATCCCTCTAAATCTATCTAATACAATAGAGTTGTGTGCTTGTAAAGCAAAATAATAATTCATATCATTTAAATCAGACGAATTATATTATTAATTATATTTTAACTTTTTAATCATAATTTTTGTTATCGGTAAACCTTTTAGCTCTATCTATATGACAATATTTAATTTTTAAGTATATTAAATTTTCTTATTTTTTAACAACAATAAGTATTATGATCACAATAAATATTTTAACCATAACATGAAGCGTATGTCTTTGTTATAGAAAATATCTATATAATTAGATTATATTAAACTGTATAAAGTCTAACTTATGCGTTAATCTAAATAGAATATATAGAAATCAAAACTAGTAAACTTACATTGACGCAGAACAACACGAATAGTAAAATCTAGAAAACCATAAATCCAGAAATTCAGAAATAAAAACAATAATTTGAGCCCTATGTAATCACAGTTTCTTTAAGACGTATTTGCTCCCTTTTGGTGCTTAAAGTTGATAAACAACTGTCTCCCAAGATATAACGGATTTTGTTCTTGAAGATGCAACATTTCAATCTTCAAGACTCTAATGAACACAATTCTGTGTTTATATTTAAACTGAACTTGAAATAATAATACAACAATACGCAGAGAGAGAGAGAGAGAGAGAGAGAGAGAGAGAGAGAGAAGAAACGAATTAGTTTATTTACTGAATATGCTATATCCAAACGGATACAATTCATTATATACATTAAACTACCAATTATACGTGCATATTCTAACAGTGATATGCTATTACCCTTATTCTTAGAAAGATGTATATTAACATCAGCAGGTGTTCTCATAGGTTTTATCTCATACTTTTTGAACTTATCAATTACTTTTTTCAATATAATGAGATTGAGATAACATGAGTTCATTTGATGTTCTAGAAATTTTAATTTCTAATATAATGTCAACAACACCTAGGTCTTTCATTTTAAACTTATTTGTCAACATCCACTTGGTAGCTTTAATGACATTGTTATTGTTGCTTATAATTAGCTTGTCTTTAACATAAAGACATACAATAACGTCTCCACTATGAGTACTCTTGGCATATACACATTTGTCACACACATATATTTTGAACCCATTTGTCAATATTGTTTTGTTAACTTTTTCATGTCATTGCTTTGGTGCTTGTTTTAAATGATATAGAGGTTTAACATGCTTGCATACTTTCTTTTCTTCTCTATTAGCAATGAACCTCTCAAGTTGTTCCATGTATGTTTCTTCATCTAATTCACCATTCAAGAATGTTGTCTTTGCATTCATTTGATGTATTTCAAGACCATTCAATGCAGCTATAGGAATTAACATCCATATGAAAGTAATTCTAAAATAAAAATGGTGTATGGGTTTAGTCTGATGAGGAAATTGGTCATGTTGTTGAGGAGTTTTATTCTTCTCTTTATAAATCTGAATCTCATACCATTCATGAGGAGTTATTTTCTGTTATTCCTCATTTGGTTAGTGACCTGCAGAATGCTAATTTGGTTATGGATGCTTCTTTGGAGGAGGTTAGGAATGTGGTTTTTTCTGTGTCTGCTCATAGTGCACCTGGGGCAGATGGCTTATCTAGTGGCTTTTACTAGGCTGCCTGGGATGTTATTAGAGTTGATTTTTTTTGAAAGCTGTGAATTTTTGCCTTCATGGTGGATTGATTCCAAGATCTGTTAATGCTACATTGTTAACATTAATTCCTAAGAAGGTTAACCCAGCTTCTTTTGTTGATTTTAGACATATAAGCTTGTGTAATTTCCTATATACTATTTTTACTAAGCTTTTATCTATTAGAATTGGCCCTTTGTTGCCTGAATTGGTGTATGTTGAGCAACATGGGTTTGTGAGGGGTAGGAATGATGAAGCGTGTGTTTCACTGGCTCAAATGATAGGGGGGTTTAAATAGGAAAGTTGAGGCTGGTAATTTGATTTTGAAGCTTGATATGATGAAGTCTTATGATCGTCCGGAATGAGATTTTTGCTGAAGTCCTTAGTTAGTTTTGGCTTTTCTGATAGGTTTGGACAGCTCATTCATAATTGTTTAAGACTTTAGTTCTTTTCTATGTGTGTAAATGGAATTAGAAGAGGCTTTTTTCCATCTTCTAGAGGTTTAAGACATGGGGATCCTTTGTCCCCTTGTTTGTTTATCCTAGCTGAGAATGTTCTTAGTAGGGGATTGAGGAAAGTTTTTTAGGAGAGATTGGTTAAACATTTCCATTTGGGGAGAAGGGTTATGTTGGTTAGTCATCTTCTTTTTGCTGGTGATACATTGATATTTTTTAGGGGTGATAAAGGTCCTTGGTGAATCTTATAACTTTTTTAAAGGAATATGAAGGTAGTTCTGGTCAAAGAATAAGTCTACAGAAAAGTTCTATGTTTTGCTCAAAGGGGCTTGCTGGTATTCCTGTAAAATCTTGTCCTTTTACTTATTTAGGGTGTCCAATCTTTCAAGGTAGAACCAGTATCAGATATATTGAGGGGTTGCTGGTTCAGTTCAGATAGAGGTTGGAGGGTTGGTATACTAAACTACTTTCTAGTATGGGGGGGGGAGTAGTTTTAGTTCAATATGTTTTGTGTGTCATTCTTGTTCATTTACTTGCTTGTCTTAACTTTCCTAAAGCTATTTTTGCAAAGCTTAATTCTTATATGGCTGGTTTTGTGTGGTCCAATAAGTTGGATGTTAAAAGGAGGCATTGAGTGTCCTGGGATAAAATTACTAGGCCAAAGGAGGAAGGTGGATTGGGATTAAGGAAGTTTGAAGATATATAGGTTGCATTTCAAACGAAACAAATATGGAATGTCTTGAAGGGTTCCTCTCTATGGGCTCAGGTTATCTCTTCTAAGTTTTGAGGGGGAAAAGCTTATTGAGATGTTCTGGGAAGAGTCACTCTTTTTGCTTTGATATGTTGAGGCCTTATTTTGATAAGATTGTGAGTTTTTCTCAAGTTCTGATAGGGGATGGTTCTCTTACAGATTTTTAGTGTGATAACTAGTTAGGGGGTGGTGCTTTGTTGAGTAGATCAAATGGTATACCTCAAATTTTTCCTAAAATTTCTGATTGTTCAAGCTCAGTGGAACTTGGGTAGTGTGGGAGAGTTCTTGGTTGAGCAATGCAAGGAAGAGGTGTTGATTTCTGGGATTGTTCTATCTGATAAGCCTGATAAGTTGATATAGCAAGGTACTTCTTCTGGGATTTTTTTCGTTAAAACTGGCAGGCATAATGTTAGATGTCAGGGGGTTGTGAATGATTTAGTTGGATTGATTTGGAAAGTGAATGTATCCCCTAGTGCCCCTCTAATGCGATGGAAGATTTTGAGTCAAGCACTTCCTTTAGATTCCAATTTCATAAGGGTGGGGGTTTCGATTGTAAGTAGATGTTGCATGTGCTTTCATACTATGGAGAGCACTGAACATTTGTTTGTGGAGTGTTCTTATGCTTCAGCTGTTTGTAGAATGTTTGTAGTGATAGGAGGTTTTCAAATTGTATCTGGAGAGTCTTCTTTGGTTATATTTTTGAGGTTGTGCAAATTGTTAAGAAAGAAATCTCGGGGACATGGCTTACTGAGATGGCTTGCATTGACTGTTTATTGGCAGATTTGGCATGAAATGTGTAGAAGGTTGGCTGGCGAAGGTAAGTTACATTCTTTGTTGATCTTTGGTAATGTTTGTAGTATTCTTAGGTATCAAGTGATGACTATTAAACCCAAGGTGAGGGATGATGCATATGG